GCTGGGTAATAAATCGACCTTAATCGGGAGTTAGCGCGACGACCGTAAGTGGTAGCTCGCGCTTTCGCTATATCTCCAACGAGATGACACCGACTGGATTATCTTTAATCCTGCCTAAATGATAGTTAAACAGCAGTAACGAGTTTTACCGATCGTTACTAACCGCAGTGTTCCGCCACTGCGGTTTCCCTAGGAATTATGCTGCCACTTCTTTACTTTTTGTAGATTTATTTCTGTACAATTTTAACACAAAAATAAAAGAAGAGATTTTTCAAAAGACTATATGTTTGTTTTTTTAGACTATACACATTCAAAAAATATATATGTATTTTATAGACGCAAATATAATTTAATGTTGAGCTTTCTATCCTTATAAAAAAATTTGCGCGATGAAGCCGAGAAGCTTTTAATAATCGTGGTAAAAACGTTCTCTTCTTTTACTTATTTTAATGCGCGATAAGTCGCTATTGACCGAATATTAGCACCATTACTTTCGCGAGGTATACAAGAGTATACAATCGGACAAATTGAATTAGCTTTTATTCAATCTAACTAGTCATTTAAGATCCTTTTATAAATTGTACTTGTCAATAAAGCCTGCCATGGGTGCACTCAAATTATGATCTTAATTGTGTAAGTGCTCGTCTCGAGATGCAAAACGAATTATTTTCTTTTCTTCTCACTAAATCGCAGTCTTTATCGCTATCTTTAGTCATCAATGTGGCAAACGAGTTATTTCAAACGCGTCATTTTAATTTTATAAATAAGGATATTTATTTTAGTTATTTTATTAATTTCTTACAAGTTCAAGCAAAAAGAAAGAATTTTTTAAATGTTCTTTACGTACTCGATTTTGTCTAATCGAACGCGTAATGCGCCTTTAACGCGAGCGATTCATCTATTCAAATAAAGATGAGGGTTAAATCATCCGTAATGTTAATTAAGTACTCGTCTCGAGATGCAAAATAAATTATTTTCTCTTCTTCCGAATAAAGTCGCAGTCTATTTTTATTCATCAATGTGGCAAACGAGTTATTTCAATCGTGTTGTTTCAGTTTTATAAATAAGAATTTAATTTAATTATTTTTATATATTTTTATATACACGAACAAAAAAATATGTTCTTTATTTACGAACTCGGTTCCGTCTGATCGAACGCGTAATGCGCTTTTAGTGCGCGCGATTCATCTATTCAAATAAAGATGAGGGCTAAATCACTCGTAACAACCATAATCTTAATTGTGTAAGTACTCGAGATCAAAACAAATTATTTTCCCTTCTTCCGAACAAATCGCAGTGTATTTTTATTCATCGATGTGGCAAACTAGTTATTTCAATCGTGTCATTTTATTCCAAATAAGACATTATTTTAGTTATTTCTTTATACTTTAAGCAGAAAAAATATGTTCTTTATTTACGAACTCGAGATACAAAACAAATTATTTTCTCTTCTTCCGAACAAATCGCAGTCTATTTTTATTCATCGATGTGGCAAACTAGTTATTTCAATCGTGTCATTTTATTCCAAATAAGACACATTATTTTAGTTATTTTTTTATATTTCGAGCAGAAAAAAATATGTTCTTTATTTACGAACTCCGCCCCGGCTGATCGAACGCGTAATGCGCTTTTAACGCGCGCGATTCATCTATTCAAATAAAGATGAGGGTTAAATCACCCGTAATAATCGTCGCTAATCACCAGATAATTCCACTTAACCCGCACCACCTCCCGAATCATTAGTTCAGCCTTAATTGCGCGATTTTCCCTCCCGAAGCGCCACGGCTATGAACTACGCTTTTTAATCGCACCCTTACGACATTATTACAACCATAATCCTCTTATTATGTTCGCACATTACCGGCCGGCGATTTCGTACTTTTGCCAACGCGATAAATCATCCCGTGCTCCGGAAAGGCTCGAAGAGCCTCCCGTTGCCGCCGTTCGCAAAAGAAACGTTAAATCACCCGACAACAACCGTCGCTAATCACCGGATAATACTGCCACTTGCGCGCGGCTGCAAAAATGAATCTCGACTCTGTCCATCCGCTCGATCTTAATTGCACAAGACTTTCCCGCGCGCATCTCGCGCATAAATCTGCCGTGTTCCGTCCAGCGGTAAACGGATGCGAAAGAAACTGTTTACGCAGAATATCTCGTGGACTCGTTTCACTTTTTGCCGCTTGTCGTCGAGCGGTTAATCGTTAGTCATGACGACGTTGCGTTATTAAAATCAAATATCCATTAACGACATTTGATCGAGGATTATATGCAAAAAAAAGTCTCTCGAAAGTCTGAAGATCTGAAAGGAAAAAAAAAAGATACGACGTGATAATTGCT